TTTGTAAACAAACCTTCTAAGGCCCTTTACACGCGAACCAAAGTACGCCCACGCAAACCAACAACATCATTTGCGTGTAAAGGGCCTTAGAATGTTTGTTTACAAATGCTTTTGTGCCGTTATCAAATGTTATGCCTGATTTGATCAATTAAAAGAACTTAATGCTCTTCACATTTATTCCGTCCACTAGCGGTCCTACGTCAAGCTTCCGTTCGTGCCCCTAGGCACAGACCCTTCTACTTTTTTTCCCTCTTTCGTTCCCCTCGCGTAGGAACTCTACACACTTTTTCTCCTGTCAACTTTTCCCTCCAAACACACGAACCAACGCTGCGCTCCGCCACCTGGATAGATCTGCGCTCTAACTGTACTTTATCTTCCTTAACTTCAATTACTCACCCCTTACTTGTAGCATCAACTATCGCCGTACACCGAAATCAAATTCGCAACCACTTTCGATGCATTCAATCATCTCGCTTTTCTCTAAAAATGTCCTTTACTTACTACATATACAAGAGCCCAGTATCAATGATGACAAAAGCTCCATCCACTGATTACTTCTACCCCACTCACATAACATACAAACTGCTCATTGCAGTCTGCACCAGAGATGCCAGATTTTTTTCTTTGCAATTCCGTAGACTTATTCAAATCTACGGATTTCTACGGTTTTTTTTTGTCGAACTTCTGATAGGTGATATTTTACGTTAAATGATAAATCGATGAAAGAACTTTTTTTAAAATGGTTTCAAATTTCGATTTTTCGAAACCACTCTTACTAACACGTGCACACTAAGGTGTTTCATCCTTAATAAAGATATAAAAAAAAAGGTGTTTCATTCTGGAAAAAAAGATTTATATAGGCCACCCCCTAGTTCAGTTCATAACACAAAAACAAACATCTGTGCAAAGAATCAGCTGAATTGGTCAACGTTAAGAGGTCGCGCCAACGATTTCAATTTTGTTCGGGATTTTCGTCAAATTAGTATTGGAGAAAATGATGACCCACTTGGTTGGTTGTCTTTATTAAGGAGATTTTCAGTCTTAATAAAGACAACCAACCCTCCGGGTGTAACATCAAAAGTTGAAATGAAATTAGCATCTTCAACTATCAAAAGTTGGTTTTACAAGTGCTATGTATACTTTTCTTTAAGAAATATTAAACAGCAGAAAAGGATATCATCCATTTAATTCCACTTAATAATTTTTTTCAATTACAATGTGCAGTCTTCATCAGTGTCATTTCCATTAAAAAACTTATAAAAACCTAACCCCCTTAAGTTCTCATCCCCTTGGTAAAAATGTCAAGAGCACAGGTATAACAATGTCATGGATACCAAAATTTATTGAGTGGTTTTTCCCGGTTTATTTAAATCATTCCAATAACAACCCAATTTCATTGCTTCATTTAATCATGGTCTCCAGAACCCTCATAAAACCAAAAATTATACTTGGGTTGTCTTCATCCGTAACGCCGATGTCTTTAAAGTCGAAAACTTGCAGCTCACTGAACTCATTATCGACTTGCTGCCAGTCTTCTTTGTCAATTACGTTGATGAAATGACCGAGTAGATGGCCCAAACTAGTGGATTGCTTCAGTTTTTTCGGCTCCAAGAGAGTTAGATTCCTGAATACCACATTATCTAATTGCAATCGTTTAAGCATTTGCTTAACCAGCTCCACATTTAAGCACCGGTTTTAAAATTCTGTAATTCTTTTCCTGTCATATTTTACGGAGCTGATGAGGACTGATACTTTAACGTCAAAGTATATTTCACCCGATGGTTTGAGATCGTTGTTTTCAAATCTAAGCTCTTGCGGATTAGAAGCAGCGAGCAAAACTTGAGGTTTTACGAAATAGCCCAAGATTTGGTTCACTTTTCGTGTCAAAGTAGAGTGCATGGATATGGTTTCTGGCTTTTCTGTTTGAAAAAGCTTGTTAGTTTTATCGACAATCGGCAGAATTAAATTAAGCAACTCCAGGTCTTCTTCTTCTTCTTCGCATTTCAAGCTTATTGCATATCGCATATTAGCTTATTGCGTACTCTTAACTTAGTGTTCTAGATGCACTTCCACAGTTATTAATTGAGAGCTTTCGATGCCTGTACCATTTTTCATTAGTATAATTGTGTGGCAAGTACCATTATACCCTATGCCTAGGGAAGTCGAGAAATTTTCCAACACGAAAAATTCCTAGACCGGACCGGGAATCGAACCCAGCCACCTCCAGCATGGTCTTGCTTTGTAGCTGCGCCTTTACCGACTGAGCTAAGGGAGGCTCCTTCAGGTACAGCTCGGTAATTGGGTCTTGTAGCACGTTTCTATTTTCGTTGCGTTGGAAAACGAGCAAGAAAACGGTTGACAAGTTGCAGGGGTGTATTTTACTTTATGCTTCTTTCCCTTCAGAATCAGATTATACTCTAGATAGTTAAATTGGATTCTGAAGGGAGCAAACTAGTAAACTGACGTACACTGAATAAAAAATCCGTAGAAACTGTACCGAATTCCGTAGATTTTGCCTACGGATCCGTATTTCCGCAAAAATTTGTCAAATCCGTAGATCTACGGAGATTTCCGTAGATCTGGCATCTCTGGTCTGCACGCCACCATTCTTCTTCATCTTATTTATTTCTTCTTGTGATATTCTGCTTCCCTTGCACTTCGTGTTTCTTCAAAACCCTGTCGGCAGCTTATGTGTCTCACTCTCCCAACTTGCTTTCACTCTAGCACTTCATTGAAGTTCCCCTCCATTCTCTCCCAAAAGAGCTTCGCTTGAGACCATTGACACCTTTTTTCCCCTATCAAGTTTTCGTTCCAACCTAACCCGAACCAACGCCGCGCCGCGCTCCGCCACCCGAACAAAACTGCGCATTCAACTGTACTTTTTCTACAAAGCTACAATTTTTCACCAAACTCTTGCAATCCAAATCTATTCGACACACATAGCGCCACACACCGAATCCAAATTACCATCGACCAAAACCACCTTCGCACAATTCACTCGACTCGCCTGACTCAAAGTATTCTCTAAACACCTCCTTCAATCGCTACGATTGCAAAAGCCTCCGTTCACCGTGAATACTTGATGCCAACATGCGGCAGACGACTTCTTCGTCTGGCGCATAAGCCGGATTTTTTGAGAACCCTAGCAGGATCTTCCTTACACACACTGTCTGTTCAAATTAGATAATATCTTCGGAATTTTAGTGAGCTAACATTCTAACAAAAATCATGAATTTGATAACGCCCCGTAACGTGGGTAGATCACCTTTTCGTGGTACGTTACGGGATGTAAGATCTACCACCGATTCCTAGTCCTGACTACTTCAAACTAGGGGAACAGGATTTTTCAGTAATCCAAGGAACACATCTTAGTCCTTGTTACTTTTTTTGCCTTGTTGATAGTGACAAGACTCGGCTTTGTCTACCGAGGATGATCTTGAAACAAGGAAAAAAAAATGAGTTAGTTGTCTTCATCTATGTGATTCCTAATTTTCTCTTCGTTGTTCCCTAGTTTGAAGTGGTTAAGAATAGGGTTCTGATGCATGGTCATTATCGGTGTCATACCTTAATTTTGTTGCTAAGGAATCCAATTTTGACTGACAAAGGGGCGCGCCTTTGGAGGGTGTTTCAACACTCCGAAGGGTATAAATAGCGGGACCTTTCAATTAGACTCGGATCCTTGCGATAAATACAAGCGTGGCAACTGTAAAAAAATCAAATACTTCATCATTTCTCAATAGTGATGGAGTAATACGACATGCACTAAACTAAGTACACGGGATATACTACAATAGATCAATTTACTGGTCGCAGTAGTGTTAGGTCCCGAACAGAGGAAAAAAAAAATTGTTGGAGTCTTACTTTCAACAATACTATTAACTCATCTGACGTTTGTTTTTCAAGGGTAAATAAAACAATGTTTGATTCTTGTGAACCATTTATTTTACATTACAATTAGGTTATAAAAAGTCACACATTATCCATTAACAATAGAAGAGTACGAACATCCGCTAGCAAGTTTCTCCTTCAGCTGATTACATTCAGGCATATCCGTCCATTGGTTCTTTGGGCATTTCTGTAGCGGAAAACGCTTATTATCATATTGTATTTAATTTATCATCCAATCACACGCACCTCGAAAAGCTCAATCTTAATGCAATTCATCAAGGCCGGTGGCAGGAAGCTGCACCCGCCTCTTCCCGGAATGGGCGAAACGGGAGTCGCGGAAAACTGTGGATCTTGGGAAATTATCGGATAACAATAATCGATGCTGCTGTTGAATAACGGCACGAATGCCTTCGCATCGGCAGCAGTCGTCAGGATTGCTTTCCGAACCGCTTCAATGTTCAGCGATTTACTGGTTGCATTATAACCTCCAATGGCCAGGAAGATACACTCCGTCACGCACTGAAATTTGATCGGTTATTCCTAGAAATATGTTGCTTAACTCTTCTTACCGATCCTTCCGTTTTACGCACTCCGGGAGGGGGTCTTGGACTAAGATTTTTGAATTTCAAATTGCACGTATCGGCAATCGCCTTACTCATCAACCGTGGTAAGGGACAGCACTCCGCAGCCTTCTTCAGGTTTCCTTGAAAGCAAGTTTTTCTTTCCGCCGGTGGTTGGGCAAAGACCTGACAATAGACAATATTGATAAATGAAATTTTTAGGAAATTAATTGATTGCAGACCGCAGTAGCCAGGATAAATGCAAGCAGCAAAATGACCATCGTAGTAACCGTTGGCTTCCCACGCATGACAAGTGCTTTTATTCAAAAAGAAAAACTGCTCAATCATTATTATTTTTCCTATCTATATTTAATTTTGGGAACACATTGTCAAGCTCAATTCAACTCAAATTTGCCTGATCGTATCGCAACAAAATTACTTTGATTGCACCTTCATTTAGCATGACATTTATAATAAATAAACACCTAACACCTGATAAATATTTGGCGCGGTAGCAATCTGTGGTTAATGTAGCAGTACCTACTGACAGATATGACGGAGACAATGTTGGAAAAATTATACGTATTGTGTTTTCTCATCACCGCCCTTGTCTACTTGGTAATACGCTGACATTAGAGGTTCCCTAGGCATTAAATTCGAATTTATTCTCTCATTTTTTAGGGCACAGCTGACCTTAGTTCGTGTAGAAACCATACAGCACGGGCTCGGGACTGCTGCAAGATCCCGGGTATAATCAAGCAACCCATCGTGGATGCATGTGACGACAAATTTCCACATACTCCTCCACAGTCGGAGCCGCAACGTGGAGGGAAAAAGTTGGAAGGATCAGTAGGCTTTGCATTGGGATAAATTTCCGTTCGCAAGCACCGACGATTTTTCGTGTTTGATTTTGTTTTCAGTGTGTTGTGCAGTGTATGTTCGAATCCATCGGAGCATTCAAAAACAACTCGTTGGATATGGAGGATACTCGGAGGCACATTTTGGAGACAGCCGGGATGGATCGAGATTTCGGTCCATTGCTGAACGATACCATCGATTTGTGTTACAAGAATGTCACCGAAACTCCCGCATTTTCCGTCAAGCCGATATCTTTCGAGGATGGTCGCCCGGGATGTAGCTTTATACCACAGGAAATGAATGACTGTGTCAAAACGTTGCTATTCTATGTGAGTTGATCCTGTTTTGATCTTACTTAGACTAATTCATAATTGGTATTTCAGTACTGTCCACCTGCCAATTGGAACCAATCGAACGACTGTGATGATCTGAAGGAAAAGGTTGATATGGGATGCTCCTATTCATCTCTGTATTAAGAATTTGAAAGATGCATGGTTGAGAATCACCAATAAAACAGTGTATTGCTTTGAAGATAATTGGACAAGAAACATTTCGAACCTTTTTCATTTCAAAGAAACTCAAACTTAACGAAAAGTTGAAAATGAAGAAGCCCAACCTTGTTGCAGCAACTGCCAATCAAGAGACTGATACCAAATTCTGGCTGTACTTGTCGAACATTCATCCAGATGTCAGCGATGAAACGGTAACGTGTATGGTGCGCTCAAATTTGGGAACGAGTGATACTACTGTAATTAAACTTGTTCCTCGTGGCAAAGACGTACGTTCCCTAACTTTCGTGTCCTACAAAGTTGGGATGGCAGCTGATCTGAAATCCAAAGCAATGTGTTTGGACACATGGCCCTCTGGCATAAGATTCCGGGAGTTTGAAGACAATGGTAAAAAACGGGATTTTTTAAAGCCAGTCCTATTGAACCCACTACCATCGTCAGCTTCCGAAACAGCGAATGCGAGCAAGTAGGCTCTTGCTCTAGTCCCGCAAAAACGGTTCAAGCACTTCATCGTCCGAATCCACCAGATGCGCTCCCCCCCTTACAATTTTTTACCAGAATGTCCGCGGATTAGCGATCTTCGTTTGGCATTATCATCTTGTGACTATGACGTCATTGCGCTGACCGAAACGTGGCTTGGCAGCGACATATTAAACTCTGAATTCTCGTCCGACTATGTGATTTATCGTCTCGATCGGAATCCAGCCACATCTCAACTGCTACGTGGTGGAGGCGTACTGACCGGTGTCAAAAAGCATTTACGTTCCAGTAGTTAATGTCAATTGTTTAGAGCAAGTGGCCGTGTGTGTTTCGTTGCCAATGCAGTCGGTCTACATATGTTGCGTCTACTTAAGGTCTAACTCGAACTGCGCCATGTTCTCCAATCATGCATCTTGTGTTCAAGAATTGTGTGAGCTTGCTGAAACTATAATAACTATGGGAGACTATAATCTGCCTAGACTATCATGGCAATTTGATGCCGACATGAATTCTTACATCCCGACCAACGCTTCATCTGAACAAGAAATCGCTTTGACCCAGTCGATCCTTGCATGTGGATTACAGCAGGTTCAGGATGTACGTAACGTAAACGAGAGATTACTTGACCTGGATTTCGTTAGTGATACTGACAGAATCGAACTTTTCGAATCGCCCTGTGGAATTTTAAAACTCGACGCTCATCACAAATCTTTTATCATCAAATTTGAATACCTTCGTAATACTGACGACGTTGGGCTGGACCGCTGTTATTACGATTTCAACTTCTGCAATGAACCCCTTAGCAACGCCCGGATAGGCTCGATAGACTGGACGATGCTTTTGACTGATTGTGACGTTGACGATGCTGTTTTCCGGTTTTATGGTGCCATTTTCGATATCATCCACAAATATACTCCTATTCGACGACATTGCCTCCGTGTTCACTACAATCAACCATGGCGGACCACGGAACTTAGGAACCTCCGAAACAGGTTACGGAAAGCAAGGAAACGTCTTTTCAAACAACGGACTGAGGAAAACAGGCGAATACTTCACGACTTGGAGGAGCACTACACCAGCCGGTTGAACACAGTTTTCCATGAATATGTATGGCGCATTGCGGGAATGGGAGGTTTGGAAACTTGATTTAGAATCGTTTTTTGCCGCCCATCGTATTGAATCTCAGCGCGACAAGCGAGCCCACTTGGCATATTTGGGAAAGCCAGGGTTGCAACAACTGCTCCGTCATCTACCGGGAGTTGACCAAGTACCGCACGTTTCTGTGGATCCTCCTTTCTATGATGTGGCGATTAAATGTCTCGATGGGTATTTCGAACCTTTCCGTCGCAAGACCTATGAGCGCCATTTGTTCCACCAAATCGTACAAGGTAAAGACGAACATTTTGCCGATTTCATAATGCGTCTGCGCAAACAAATCGCTAGATATAACTACCAGCCATCGGCAGATCGTATAGCTCAAGGGTGTTTTTCGGAGGACTTGCGTATTGAGCTTCTCGAAAGGGATCGTACTCTGGAAGAAATTGTTGCATTGGGAACTAGCATGGCTGAATCCTGTGATCAGTCAAGGAAGTTCCATAACCATCCAAAACCTGAATACCATGATATTAATGCTATTTTGGATCGAAACCAGATCAACCAACGGCAAAATGTTGGATTCAAACCGCGATTTCCAAAACGAGTTGGACGTGACCTGTCATCGAATAATCGGTTTATATGCTACAGTTGCGGACGACGTGGGCATGTACAAGGTAGTAGTGACCAGCGTTGCCGGGTAATTTTTAAGAAAATCTGTTCAAGTTAGAATATAAAATCTGGAAAAATCTGGAATGCTCAGAAACATCCGAATACGTAAAAATCCTATTTTAAAATATTGTTACTACAGTTGAAAACTGGAATAACCCACCACTGAAAATTGATTTTTCTCTAGATTTATACGTTATACATAGTATCGGAAGTAGTACGCATTATAGCGTATCATTGTGCGATTCAAGCGCACTTCTTCCGACGCTATGTATGACGTTTAGAAAAAGAGTAAAATCGTTTTTTGCTAGTGGGTTATTTCAGTTTTAAACTGTAGCGACAATAATGCTATTGAAATCAAATTGATGTACCATAACCAGGCATGTAAAATCATTTGCATTCATTTCATACATTCATTAACATTCATTTGCCTCTAACTTTTGTTATCAACAGCATTTCGCAAAATGATGTATAGAGCTTTTGTAGGTTTTGTTATTAGCTACAACTTTTGCTCATAACTCAACTCTGTATCTTTTATGCATCACGAACTAGAGCAGACAGAACTTGTTACTGTTTTTCAGTGAATGTAAAATACATTCACTGAAAAACAGTAGTGGCTTCTCTTCGCTCTTGTTCGTCATGCATCAGAGATACGGATTTGACTTGTTAACAAAAGTTGTAGCTAATAACAGTACCTATAAAAGCTACATACATCATTTTGTGGAATGCTGTTGATGACAAAAGTTAGAGGCAAATGAATGTAAATGAATGTATGAAATGAATGCAAATGATTGTCCATGCCTGACCATAGCCATAAAAAAGCTAGGAAAATTATTTTCACAATGCGTCCAAAAAGTTTGAATACCCGTACAGAGTTAAGCCTTATGTAAAAAATACTTAATATTTTTAAATGTTGTTTTTACTGTAACCTATAAAGAGTCGGACCTTTCAATTAGAGTCGGATCCTTGCGATAAATGCAAGAATGACAACTGTAAAAAAACGAATACCCTCATTTTATCTGTCAAATTTACATAGCGAATCAAAACAAACATAGTGTAGTACTAGAATTTTGACTAGAATGGGGTAGGTTAAACGATTTGCTTGGGACCAATAGGCTAGTCAAGTAGTGAGCCAATTTTAAATCGTTAGTTTCCAACCGGTGGTAATGCGACATGCACTAAATTAAGCACACGGGATATACTACAATAGATCAAATTACTGGTCGCAGTGGTGTTAGGTCCTGAACAAATCTAATCCTTACTTCGTGGCACGCACACAATTAACCTAAACTACGGGTAACTCCGCTAACCACATAACCACTACTTCAACATAATCATGATTAATCCACGATGCCAAAAAAAAACAATTTACTATTAAACTCAAATGGAAGTCCCAGATCATGGAAATGTTTGCTAATCTGAATTTCCTTGGAACTCTTCATCCTAAAATTTCATCATACTTATGAGTTCACTAACATTAATTTCCATATTTTTCAATAACATTCTAGGCGTTCTCTTGAATATCTTTAAAAATGTCTTAGAAATCACTCTTCAATTCTATAATTCCCTCAAACTGGCAATAATTCCCAGTATTCATTATTCTTCACGAAATTCACTTGGAATATTCTGCATAAATTCCTTGGTACACCCTTCTTTGAGCTTCTTCTCTTAGAATTCATTTTAAATTCGTCAACATTTGATTATATAATGAGAGAGAGAAGGATTAGTATTTTCCTTTTAATTCCACTACTTTATTTGCTTATCCTTGACAGATACGTGTATTTCGTCTACAATGTGCAGACTTCTTCAGTGTCTTGTACTAATACTCGACTATATAATAGTACAAGACACTGAAGAAGTCTGCACATTGTAGACGAAATACGCGTATCTGTCAAGGATAAGCAAATAAAGTAGTGGAATTAAATGGAAAATACTAATCCTTCTCTCTCTCATTATACAGGTATTCCACTAAGACGCCCACATTCATCAGGATTTGATTATAATTAATCACGAAATTTCATACAAACATTCGTTAGAATTCCATTAAAATTATCTTAACGATTCCCTTATGGATTTTCTTCGCCATACCCATTATATTATTCCCAGATTTCCTTACAAATGCTCTATTCGCTTCCTCCACACAATCTCCTCTCTATGCAATTATCATCTCAGATGGAACTCTACTCAGAATCAGGCTTGCTGAAACTCCTCAAACTCATTGGAGGTTTTAAAACACTCTTGTCCTGCGAGTTTAGCCAGCCCTCACCTCGAGTGAATATGGAAGAAGTAAACAAAAACTCCTCGAGAGAGAGAGAGAGAGAGAGGGAGAGTGGACTACAGCGAGAGGATGATTTGACGTGAGGTGCGCTTTTCAAGACGGCGGATGATTTTTTTGATAGACGCAAGTAGCTCAGAGTTCATCCTGAGTGAGAGCAAAAGCGTGTGATAGAAAACATGAACATGAATGGCAGCAAACCTCACTCTCATTTTATCCCCCTTCGCTCACAAGCTCTGAAGCTCAGTTGAATGATTTGGCAGTAGGCATTCTACTCATCAGAAAAATGCTAGGCTCGGCTCATTTCAAACTCGCGAGTGAGGCTCCATCAAGCCTGCTCCTTTGAATTCAGAAGGAATTCACCTCACACTTCCTAAAGGCAATCCAGAATTCTAAAGTAATTGAAAATTCTAAGGTTACTCAGAATCCTATGATACTATAAAAGTGCTGG